AAATACAATTTGTAATGTCCATCCATACATTACCAAACTGTACCACCTATACCATACCAAGGTAATTAGAAATCCTTAAAAATCTAAGTCACTATAAATCTCATATATAAAAATATAGCAATTACTTATTGTAAAAATAGTTAAGATCCCAAACACCCTTGAAAGATGATTTAAACCACCCAAATATGCATATTATGCACAACAAAAGTGTTCAAAATGATAAATACTATAATTAAGAAAACAAGGGTAAAGTAGTAATTTTTGTCAAATTAGGCCATATTTCGTGGCATGTCACACATGTACCACCACTTGTTCACCAACACACATGATAGCTTTTGCTGTCATGATAGTTCGACAGATACTAACTTTCAATGTGTATCATTTCCATATATGATGTTCGATTAGAGTAATTCAAATACCCACATGAAAGTTATTTCACAATCTAACTAATGACATAGATTCCTTTTTAGTTTGATAGTCCATTTGAAAATTAGACACTTGAGTGCAAAATGATCACTGTAAGCCATTTTCACTTACCCGAACATCCCAAAACCAAACCATATGCTATTAGCCATTATTACAGCCTTGACTATATCCAATTGAACAATTATATCATCAAAATCACATATATACACAATTTTGGATACTAAATTACCCTTTACCACACATATTAGGGCCTATTTTCACACTTACACACACACACACACACACACACTTGGCCAACCATTTATCACTTTTAAACACATATTCATGCACTTATATTAGTATCTTAGCCCTTCTTGTTACATTTTACATTATTTCACATGTTCTCATATCACAAGGCTAAGATACACATACAATATTTACACAAGTGCATCAAAATATGTTAATACACTCCTATGGCAATTTATATCATTAAATGTTTACAACACATCAAGTTTATTATGCAAACTTTAATAGCATGGTGGTAGCACCACTACGCCTAACCTGAATCTTTCCCCATGCTCCTCTCACTATCAGAATCTATAAAATAGTAACCACAGAGTGAGACAAAGTTCTAGTAACCAAAATAATTCACATATACCTATGTACAAGAATAACTATAAACAAGTAAATGAAATATCATTATTATAGTACTTGTGTTCATAACATAAATATAAACATATATATATATATATATCCATTTCTCTAAAGCCATTTTCACACATATGATCATCCTATCCATCCAAGCCTCCGTGTCACTCTGATTGAACTCATAGGCTCCACTAGACCAATTATATACACATTAATCAAGCATAACTTTAGTGGTAGAATTACCCAGCCAAATATGTTCTATCCTACTTCTAGACTATGGATTCTCCCTATCATACACGATTGGGGTGTCATTACTTCAACATTGCATCTCACAAATGCTAAAGAGCATAAATCTCCAACATTACATCTACATGGGCATTAAAGAGAGAGATTCTCTAACATTGCACCCTGTTGGGCACTAAGGAAAATAAATGTCATATGATCTTTCACACTGCTCCTACTTAAAGGTGAACTCCTACCTCTAACATTATCATTCTCTTTTTCACAATATAACCACATTTCTCAAATATAATCCACTTATAGAAAACAAACCCCATTTACCTTTTTAGCATTTCAAACCCACTTTCCTTAGTAATATACCTTATAAAAACAAATCCTTTTTAATGAAAAATCATGCAAGTTTTCAAATTATGCAAATGATCAAAAATCACATATATTATATTACACATTTTCTTATACACAATTAAACTAGTTAATGCATAGAATAAATTATTCAGTTACCTTAACCCTTTTGTTTCTAGAAAGGGTTATCCGTGGTATTCACTTAAGTAGTTTTCTTCCACTAACTCGAGTCATACACATGTGAGCATATCAGTCTATATAAATTAGGACTATCAGTTAATTATCAAATTGACCACAAGCTCTAATTATGACAATCAACTACAATTAACCATTTAATCATTTTCACTTAACCATCTTAGGTCTTACTCATCCTCTTTAATCCTTTTATCACTTTTATTAGCTTCAATACATTTCATAGCAAACTTTCACCCTTTTAAACCTTTCAATTTAGGCTAAATTAAACCTATAACTTTAAAGCTTAACCATTCATTCTTAAACCAGTTGCAAAACCTTAATTTAACTCTCAAGAATCTTTTTATTACCAAAAGGTAATAAAATAATCCCTTAAAACTCCTTAGTTCACCTTTCCTATATCCCAAACTAAAAGAAATTAGGGTAGAATAGGAGTATAGGGTGTTATGAAACTTTCCCAGTAAATGACAAGTTGAGAATATCTCTTAAGACTCTAAGACTTCTTACCTTAGCAGACACCACTTCCTTCTCCTTCTCTTTTTTGTGATTTCCTTCCATTTCCCTTTTGGTTTCACGAGTTGACCACGCATCATTTATTAGAATTCTATGTCATGCGCCGTATCTCACGCAGTATATGCCACGATGTGTGACATAGTGAGTTCACACGCTTCAATCTGAATTGTGATTCTTTTACTCAATCCTATCCATTCAATCAATCATCAACCCAAAAAGTCAATTCACAATCCGAAATCCTAATTATTCAATTAATTCTTGATTTACTAATTTATTCTTAATTAGTAATTAGTTTTCAAATTAAAAATTTAGGATATTATACAATTCCATTATCATATGCTTCACAACCATATTAAACTAGCTCAACCTTGTTATACTACTCTTGCCATCTCTATGTAATAACATGGCACTATATTTTCATGCCAAAGAATCCACATAATCATTTGTATACTTTGTAGTTATATCAAGTCACATAAACATCAAGAGGTCATATTTATTGACACACACTTATATCGCTCAACATATGATCATTATCAAATTATCCTTACATGTGCATTTTCTATAACATATCGTAAAACCAATGATTTGCACACCAACATTCCAACCATATGATTTAACTATTTAGAAAATCAAATGGGCTTTAATCATATAAAGTCATTCCATAATAAAACTAGCTACATAACTGTAGACACAAACATATACAATAATTTAACTCCTGGTTACCTTAACCATTGGGTTACTACCTCAAGAATACATTTTGGATTTCAGAGGAGCTTCCAAATGTAAAAATAGCTCCAAGAATTATTAATTTACAATTAGAATCATAAATCATTATCATTAATTGTAACATTCTAAGTTTTTAATCTGAAAAACTAATTGCTAAATAGGAATAAATTAGTAATTAGTGAATTAATTATGGTTTTGAATGATGAATTGATATTTTATATTGTTTGGCTGTGTGTGATTAGGATTGAGTAGAAGGCTTGCAGTCAGAAGTGAAGTACATGGGTAAAGTGAGAAATGTCTCACTATACCACACGTCACAGTACATGGCACATAATTTGACTTTTAAGGACGTGCCACCTTATGAAATTTAGAAGGAGAAGAGGGTGAAAACATGCATGAGAGAGGAAGAGAAGGGCTAGTTTGTTAGGGCAAGGGTTTTTAAGGTACTAAAAGACGGTTTCAACATGTCGCTTGCTAGTTAAGTTTCGTACCATCCAGTACTTCAATTCTACCTTAATTTCTTTTGAATTTGGCTCTAAGAAAATTGAATTGGGGAGTCTTAAGGGAATTTTTTTGTACCCCTTAGTGTTAAAAAGAGTCTTGGGTGTGAAACTAGAGTTTTATGATAAGTTTGGGGTTTAATGATTGAGCCTTAGAGATATAGGTTCAAATTGACCAAAATTGTAAATTTAGAAAGGGCAAAGATGTTTATTAAGTGCATGAGAAGAGTGTTTTAGTCATTCTAGTAGCCTTAGTGTGTGTGATTGTGGTAAATGGGTCAAGTGACCCCTAAGAAGTGTAAGTGAGATCAGTATGTGTGCCAGGTAGTGTGACTTAGCCAAATTTAGTGTTTTTGCATTGAGTTTTAGGAACTAACCAAGGGCACTTGCTTGTGTAGATTGTGCATTTGGGAGATTTCTTGTAGGAATCTACATATTATAAGTAGTTCATTGTAAATAGTAACCCTTAGTAAAAAGCATGTAAGGTAACTAGATAAGCCCTTTTATCCATTAGCTTATAAAATTATTTGCAAGTTATTTATATTAAACAATTCATAACATGATTTCTAAACTAATAGAGCAACTTTTTTTTGTCAATAATAAAGCAAGTAATGCATGTGTGTGTAATGAATGATTGTGCATGAGAAGTGATACCTTAGTCTAAAGTAGAGTCTTATGGCCCTGCTTTGTGTAAGGCTAGAAAACATGAGAAGTGATACCCTGATATAAAGTAGAGGCTCATGGCCCTACTTTATGTAAAGCTAGGAAGTCCTAGTCTAGAGCATTGATTACAATTTGCTAGCGGGATTTATGAGTATATAAGCATTCATATGTGTTAGAGGTGAGAGTTCATCATGTGGAGTTGTATTAACCATGGTCTTGGTGTTTGTGACACCTATTCCTTATGAACTATAGTCAACAGGTTTGGTTGGGCTATTCACTGTCACTATGTGAGTGATTGATAGGGGGAGTATTTATTCAGTGCCTCGTCAATTGATTAGGGGGAATCCATAGTAATGTGGTAAAGAGGTATTAGCCCTACTTCTTTCATTGATGGTGAGCTTGGACCGACCAAAAAGGTCATGTATAAAGCCTATGGGTCCGATCAAGAGATATGAAAGTTTGGTGGATACTACTGAATTATGCTTATTCATGTGTGTGTGTGTGTTGCATGTTATACACATACATTTATACAATGTGAAAATAGCCATTGTCTAGTTGTTAATGTCTCAAGTTAAGTTGTAAATGCGCATGATTTAAAATTTGAGAGTATTTTGTGAATTTTATGTAATTTTTTAATAATAAATTTTTTTATGTTAGAGCCAGATGTAATTTTGCCGGATTCTTTTTCACGGACAGTGCTCACTTTCTCGCTAGACAGACACGTGGCTTTTTGGACCCTCCATATATGAACTTCCTTCAGCCACGTCCATTCCGCTTCCCGCAGATGTACGGTGTCGATGGACAACCTTCCACAATCCCTCGTTCTCGAAATTCTGAGTCGACTCACCGATTCCACTGACCTTGCGCGCTGCAGAGTCGTCTCCAAGACCTTCAATTCTCTCTCCCACGATGTTCGCTCCATCAACCTTACCTGCTCCATGTCTTGCTACCTCAAGTCTCGTTCTCCGGAGGCTATTGTGCTTGTCACGCCCTTCAAGACCGTTTTCAAGGACCTCGTTAGCCGTTCTGGACGCCTAGATTCCGTCTCGCTCGGCGTCGATAAGTCCCTCGGAGGGATATCTTTCGACGATGTTGACGATGACTCTGATGATCTCTATCTCACTGACTCCAGCTTCGTCAACACTTGGTTGCCCAGAATTGCTCAGGATTTGAAATCTCTTTCCATCTCGGATTTTTGGGTTCAATCATGTTGGAGGCGATCGGACGCCTTGTCATTGATCTCTTTGAGCTGTGAGTTTAATTTCTTCCTCATTAAGAATTTCAGTGACTTATTTTGTTCTTCGCCATTGTCATATTGGCTGAACAAGTTTTCTCAACCTTGTATAAATGAGTATTGTTCAGATCATGTTGTGATAGTTGTATTTTATATCAAACGCGTATCATCATAAATTATTATTGGGCATATATGCAGGCCATGGTCTTGGCAAATTAGTGTTGAGGAACGCTTGGTTATCAGTGGATGGTCTGATTCCTATGCCGATGCTCTCAATTCTGACCCTAGAATTCGTGAGATTAGATGATGAAGATCTAAGCAAGATAAATACATGTTTCCCAAATTTGATAGAACTGAATCTAATAGGAGTTGGAGGACTCAGGGAACCAAAAATCAATCTCTTGCAACTTAGAACTTGCAAATGGTCAGTATCAAATGCTCCTCTTTCTTTGGCAATATGTGCACCGAAACTTGCCAATTTTCAACTTAAATGCATTAGACCGAGGTCAATTGTCCTTGAAGCCTCATCACTGTCTGCTTTTGATATTGCTATTGAGGATACAGATGAGTTGAAGTTGATAGATTGTCACAGTATATTATACCTTCAGTTTGAATCTTCCAATCTCGCTTGTCTCTTTAGCTTGTTTCGACTTTGCAAGGCAGTTAAGAGGCTCAAGGTGGATTCAGTTAGAAGACATGAACACACTAAAGTAAAATCCTTTGGCTTTGAAACATTGTTTGAGTCTTTCCCATTTGTGAGCTATCTTGAATTAGGACCTGGAGCTTGGCATGACATGGAGGCTTCTTTCTGCACAGGAGGTTTGAAATACAGGATTGAGATGAAGACATTGAAAGAGTTTGTTGCACATCTAGTGGTCCAACATATTGAGTCTACTCTTGCTTTTATCTTCTCTGTCGTGGATAATTGTACTAAGTTATCAGATGTTTCTCTGCTTATTCATTGCGATGTCCATCCTTATGTTGCTGGCAATCTCATGTCTAAGTGCAGAAGCTATTGTCCTAGAGTTAGATGGAGATTGGGTATATGGAAAGAAGGAATGAGGGATACTTGGGTCTCTGATGCCAACTAATTTAAGTGTCCAGATTTGTATAAAAACGGGAAAGACATGAAGATTTAGTGCAATACTGTGTGGCCATAGACAAATTTAGATAGACGTTTTAATGTTGAGCAAGTTTTTAGTTAATGGATAGGCAAAGTATACAACGTTGGAAGAAACTAGATTTTCAGAAATAGCATTCTTCTCTGTATTGCTTCAACGATGACACAGTACTTGAGGATGTCGAGATGATATTAACATATAGAAGTTCCACCTTATGGATATATTCTTTGTACGGATCTTTTTTTTTTTTTTTTTGGGTGAATGCTTTGTGCAGATCTTTCTTATGATCACGATTGCTCCATTTATTTGTATAAATGTATTTTCTTTGTACAGGTTTACTTGTTTTTGTTCGTCCGTATTATATATGTGGAGATATATGGGAATGGAGGAAGCTGTACTGTCAATCCATAGAATTTTCCCACTTTTTCCCCTCTTTTTCCCCTTTTGTGTAGGCCGCTAACCTGCATATTTAGCAAACCAGAATATGCAAGCAGTTTTTTCCAAAAAAAAAAAAAAAAGAATATGCAGTCAGTTCAAAGCTTGGAATTCAGAGTTTTTCTGGCCTCCTCCTTACATAGCTTGGAATTTGAATTTGAATACTGTTTTCCATAGCTTTACCCACACAAAATGACTTGTCTGGTCACTAACTATAATTATTAAATTTGAATATCACAAGATTCTCAGTTTTTTTTCCCTCATCATTTCGTGGTTGCTTTCCCACTTGTAAATTTCCAAGTGCAGCAACCCTTTTACCATTGTCTCCCGATTTACTGTTGACTTTATTGTTTCCGCAGCAGCTGCAAATACGATAACTATAATATTATGACATGAACTTTCTACACTGAGAAAAAACCGTGTTAGTTGTTATGGGATTATCTTTAGGGAGAATGACGATTAAGTGTAGAACCTTAAATTAATGAAAATTAACTTTCGAGAAAATTTCAAAAATGAATTGTATATATTAGTTCAAACAATCACAAACAGGTCAACTTGAAAGATTGATTTTAAACTTAAATGCCTTGCCATAATTAGAATCTCTAAATTTATAATTATTTAAATATTTTTAACTCATTTAAAAAAAATTATCATGACCTTAATTGACATTAATTCAGTTTTTTGAAATCCAATTGCCATTTTTCCTTCTATACTCCCTCCATTTTAAATTATAAGATAATTTGACGTGAATTTACTCATATCAATAAAGCTTAATAATAATATTTTAAAAACTAACTTTTTCAAAACAAAAAAAATATAAACTTTAAAAAATGTCATTTACTTAATATAATTTTAAATCTATAATAATTTAATTTTTCTTTTTCTCTCGACTTGGGTAATATTAAAAAAATATATTAATAAAATTTTATTTTGTCAAATTATCTTATATTTTATTGCAACAAAATTACTCTAATAGTGTCTTATAATCTAGTATAAAGAAAGAGAGTAATATATTGACCGCAGCCCCCAAAAAAAAAATAATAATAATAACGACACCCACATAGTAAGATCAAAAGTGATTCAACAAAGCTCAATAAGGGATCACCCAATCATGAGGTAGAGAGAGATCAACTTCTGTAAATAAGATCAAGCGGAAAAACATATCCTGTCCAAATTGCTTCGTCCCATATTGTACTTCATATCTCAACATATTACCCTAAACAACCAAAAAAAAAAAAAGAAAAGAAAAGAAGAAAACAATATCCACATTCAGCAACCTCAAACGAAGCTTATGCAAGAGATCTCTATATTTAAAAAAAAATTCCCAAAAAAGCAATGTACCCAGGATGTGTTTAACAAGGAGATATTAAATTCCAATCACTAATTAGATGTTTGGTATAAAAGAAAAAGGTCACTAATTAGTTGCCTTTTTAAGATAAATTGAAGGTGCAGGTGGCGGTATATACGACGTATCCAAGTTTTTGTCACAAATCCAAACGAAGCTTATGCAAGAGATCTCTATATTAAAAAAAAAAAATTCCCAAAAATAGGAATTTACCCAGGATTTGTTAGACAAAATGAGATAATAAATTTCAATCACTAATTAGATGCTTTTTCAGGATAAATTGAAGTTGCAAGTGGGGGATATATGAGGTATTCAAGTTTTTGTTACAAATCAATGGTGGATTGACCCATTTGACTCAGCGTGATGGCCACATCCATGCCTCTTATCATAGTAGGCGCAGCTATCCTATAGGGACACTCCTTCGAAAATCCAACTTTCCCAGACTTCAGTACTTTTCTCAGGCAATTCTTAAATTTCTCATGGCACTTCACATGAGTCATACCTGTAAAACAACGTCTTGTTAGTCAACAATTTTGTGATGAGGTATCAGAATCAGAGAATACTTTTCAATGCATGCATTTTCAAGCTAAAAACCTAATAATCCAGAAAGTCATACAGGATGACGAAGGGAAATAGTCATGCTAGTGGCATCTTAGTATGGAAATGCACTGGCTTAAAAACTAAAATATTTTAGTCCTCATCTCAAGGAAGTGTATTTCTTTCTGTATCCATCTTATAGATTAAAACAAGGATTAAATACCATCTTTTCTCATAAACTTTTCTTCAAGGAGTAATGAACACTCTATACTAAGTGAGGTAATGTTTTCCCCCACACCATTTTTTCAAGGAGCAATTTTATTCTTCTGTTAAAGAGCCGTCAATTTCACCATGATTTGCCCATGTGGATTACAAGCGAGCTCCATCAACCATCTGACTTGGCTTATTATTATAGGCTTAAAGTACTAATTTATACCTAAACTCTTTTTTCAAGAGAGCAAGGCACCTTGAAGTTTTATTAAAATAAAATTCATTATATTTACTAAATTTCATTTTAACAAGACTTTAGGTGTCTACAGTTCCTTAAAAAAAATTCAAGGGCAAATTAGCATTTTAACCCAGCTTACAATAACAAGCGGTCAATGGGGCCTGCATGTAATCCATGCATGCAAGTCACAGTGAAATTGACGATTCTTTAGCGGAAGGATAAAATTGCTCTTTTATAAAATGGTTTAGGAGGAACATTATATCACTTATTAGTACAGATAACACTTAAAACAAAAAGCAATCGAGCACTGGTTAAAGATTAAAAAAGATAAAAATAGCAGTGATGTTATAATATACCAACAATTGAAGGGATTTAATCCCTTTTCCCCACAAATGCCTAATGATGCAGACAACATAGGAACTTGTTTCTGATAGCAGAATGCATCAACAATTTTTCAAGCATCTGACACACGAATAAGTATCTATTTATCTTCACTACATAATTATACCAGAGTTACATAATCCCCCCAATAATAAAATGGAATTTAGTAACCTTTATCCCTACAGTGCCTAATAATGCAGATTCCAGGCAGCAGAGAGGTGTAAGTGTAGTTCCAAAAATTCTCAAAGAATCCATCACATACTGATCGTTCAAGACCAAAACATCCTAAAAAACCAACGCTTAATATCTCCATCCATTCAGTAAAGAAATAAGAAATGAAAGTTGTCCCATATATACAAAGTGTTGATACGTATGATATTTATGGCCAAAATATATACCAAACCTCGATGTCTCAAGCTCTTCAACATCAAAACCACGGACAGCATCAATCACTACTATATATAGTATGGCAATGATAAAATGACTCCAAAATTTGAAGGTTTTGCATGCAAATCCATGTTTCCATTGAGGTAGGCATGTATATAACAACAAAGAAAAATAAGAGGAGGATGAAAAGGAGAAATACCATATTTTCCAACGCAGTCATCATGCTTCATACAACAAGCATCGACATCGTCGCATGGTTTCTCGCCAGGACAACCCGTATGACCCAATCCACAATATTTCCCGTATCTGATTCCAATATCTAGGTTCAAAAAAATAACGAGATTTACATCCAAGCGATGGAATAACACAGCAAGAACATAGATTAATTAGAGCTGAAGAAGTGTCTTACTATCGCACTGCTGTGCAATGCATATCCTGCAGCATTTGCCCTGAACTCCAAAACAACAGAAAAATTAAAAACAATACAAATAAAAAGAATAAAAAGCGATAATCGGAGAAGCGATGAAGGAGACTGGGTCAAGTAAAATGGAGGAAATTGGAGAAAATTGAGAAGATATAATCAAGAAAAAAAAATCAAAGAAAGAAAGAGAAATTGAGTGGTGAAGCAGCATTTCTCTGGCAAGTCAGTTTGGGATCGAAGACATACCCAGGATTCATCGGAGCAGTCGGCGACGTTGACGAGAAAAATCAGGAGAACACAGATAACTGCGGAGGCGCGTTTAACATTGCTGCGCAGCGTCATCAATCCCTCCGCCGAGAAAACAGCCGGAGTCCCACCCGCTGGTTGTATACTGTCTCCTGTTTTTTTTTAGATTTGAGATTTCAAGGCAGAAGACGAGGAGCGGAACCACCAAATACGTCTCGTGTTGGACTTGGCCTTCCTTTCTTCATTCTCAATTTCTTTTATTAAAAAAATAATTCTTACCTCAGGGTTTTTAAGAACTAGAAAAATGATCCTCACTTCTCTTCACTTTTTCTCTACCTATCATTTCAATTTTTAGATAAATTTTTAAATGATTAGTATTTAATATTTTATAAAATTTAAGTTGTTTTATTTTTTTTTTCATTACAATCCTAAATCTTAAATTATAGTTTAAATCAAATTTATTATATTTTAAATTTATTTTTATTTGTCATAATCTTCATCTTCACACTGCTTTTTTTTTCTCTTCACCTTTCCACTTTTTTTTTTATCCATTTCATCCTTGTTTCTTCTTTAATCCTGGACTTTGTTTCTTTCCTTGTTATTTCTGTTAGATATGGCAACACATTTAAGAAGAAGGGCGAATTGAGTGTAAATCAAAATTTTAGTTCTTTTGAAATTTTTTTCAATAAAATAGTGTGTAAAGGAAAGTTTGAGCAAATGTTAGTTTTAAACTTTGATTATAAAAATGCTAAAATAATTAGTCTAGTTAAATATAAGCATCTTTTGAATCAACACCCAAGACTCTCTTCATTTGTGAGAGCTATGAGTTCCTCTCCACACTAGATGTGTGCTAGTTTGAGATTGTGAGTGAGAGTGTGTGTTGTAATGTCCTTTATGACATTACCAAACTATGCTCACCTTTAGTATACAATGACAATTAGAAATTCTTAAACCTTTAAAATACCATAAAATACAAATATTAAAAAATATGGAAAACAATTCTTTTAAAATTGTTGGGATCCCAAAAAACACAATAAAACACTCAAACATTTGTATTTATACGCAATAGAAGCATTTAAAAATGTATAAATACCATATAGCAAAAAATAAGACAAAATAGTCATTTTTGCTTAAAATGGACCATATGACGCGGCATGTGCTACATGTACCACGGTATGTGGTATAGAGCCACAAGTTCATGTTCTGTGAAATGCATTGTGACGCACGTGTCCATGACAAAAAATGTTGTCATGATAGTTTTTCTACATGAATTTTATATGTATGCCATTTTTTCATATAATGTCCGATCACAGTAATTCAAATGCCTACACAAAACTTATTTAATATTCTAATTAATGACATAAGTTTTACTTCAATTCAATATTTCTTTTGAAAATTGAATACCCTAGTGCAAAATTACCAATTAGTGTTACTTTTCCATATTTGAGCATCCCAAACCTTATGTTATTAACTATTTTTAAGGCCTTGATCACATCCAATGAGATATTTTTCACTTGAACGAATAGATTTCATATCAAAAATACAAATACAATCAATTTGGCCACTAATATGCCCTTTATTGCATAATAGGGCACTTTTTTCACAAAATCGCATAAATTCACATACTTAACCAAATTTTATGTAATCATCAATCTAGAAAACTTAATCATGTATTTGCACTAGTATCTTAGCCCTTTCTATCACATTTTACATCATTTTACACATCTTTATATCACAGGGCTAAGATACACACATTTTCATACAAGTACAACACAACATATGTATGCATTCCTATAATTGTGTGGCTAGACGTTCTTCTTCCCTTGAAGATGAAAGCACCTATAAGCTTTACTACTATGAGATTTTTCTTCTCCTTTACCTCTTTAATTCATGAATTGGGACTGAATTTGTTGATATATTAATGCTATGTCTTTGAGGTCGTGAATGTATGGCTAATGTGACATGCTTGAGATTAATTTTGGATTAGTTTGTTTCCTAAACAGATTTAATTATTACATTCCTTTGTTGAATTTAATTGCTGCTTGGTAATTTATATAAGTGAGATACAATTATGCTTGTTATATGATAAGTCACATTTATTATACACTTTTTTTTATTATTATTGACTAAAAATTATGTTCTATTTACCCAAATTCCACACTTTGTGAAAATTCATCTAAGTATTGTGTACATTAGGGGCATTTTGGTCATAAAATTAGACTTTTGAGAAAATTACTCTAGATGAATTTTTAGTCGAGAAGAACGATGGTCCAATTAGATTTCTCAAACTCTTTTTAGGTTGAGATTAATTAATTTCACAAGTTGACAATTTTGAAAAGTCAAAGTTTCAGGTTGATTTGTTTTCTTGCATTTCTTTTAGGTTATTTTTGTGTATGTATGGGCTTACAATTTTTAGGCCATTTGACACGCCCCAAAGGCTATTTTATTATTTAATAATTATATTTTATTATTTAATTGCATTATGCCATATATTTGAAAATTAATTTTAATTGAAAATGCAATTCTTTTCCATATGCTTTGAAATTTGACCTTGTGTGTCGCATTTATTTGTGTAGGCTTACACATCTTAGATTTAGCATATGAGGACCATTGGATTGGAAAAATAGATAAGTCAAGCGGCAACACAATTGAGTTTTGGGATGAAACTACAAGCCTTGCATGATCTTGCACACATTGTACTATACTTTGAATCCACTCACTCACTCTCTTAATTTCCCATTACCTTTAGCTTTATTTAATTCAATTTTTAAACTATTTTCATTTGAATTTTCCTACATTTTATCATGGTAAATAATAAAGTTATCCTAGATCATTTTTCATCCATTTTTTGAACACTAGAGTTAGGCCCATTCACCCTAAAATTAAATCAAACTATCCTAATTTCATTTTGAGCATTCATTCTCATTTTTCAAATTCCACCCTTCTCCATTCTTTCTTCATTGTTCTTCATATTCTTCATCTCTATCTCACCTTCTTTCCTCCATATCATGATCCAACCATCAAAATCCTAATCCAACTCTACCACTCTTCTTCTTCCACCTTACTCTTCAAACCCTAAGCTTCATTTCTTGGCTTAGCTTCAAAATCCTCAAGGTGTTTATGAGTATGATTCAGCCATGGTGGAAAGATTGTTCTCATATAGGTTCTAAGATAACTGGAGGCTAATATACCAGGAGTGCTAGGAGGGAAGGATGTTAGAGGACTCTTGAAGTGTCTCAAGGAAGGTTAAGGGTTATAGCTAGTCTCCATTAAACCTAAGTTGATATAATCTTGTTCTTAAAATAAGGAGCATTGTTATATCTTATTTTTATTGACCAAAATTGGTATTTAACTTATTTTTTTTCCACTTGATTCCCCTTTGTGTAGTTGTTGAAAATTTTCTCCAATACATTGTAATTCATATAAATATATGTTTTATATATGTTGAATGTGTTTTATATTGGCTATGCATAAATATGTCTGATTGGTGTTTGATAAAATACCTAGTGTGTAAAATTATGCATTAGACTTACTATAGGCTGAGCTATATATAAGGGGAACCTAAGGAGAATTTTGATCACTTTGCACTTAACTAAGGAACTGATTAGGGACTTGTACAAAATTATACAAGAACTTGGTTAATTGAATTGGTTAGGAAGGCACACTTGTACAAAATTGTGTAAGGGGTTTAATTTGATCAAGAGAGTGGAAATTAACTTAAACCTAATTAAAAAGAGTAGATAAGGAATCTAACATCCCACAACTCCTAGGACTCCACTTTAGAAAGGGTTAAAACACTTCTATTTCCATTTCATTAGTTAATTAGGTTTTTAATTAAATTTGTCCACTTAGTTTAATTACCTAAAATCAATCAAATCTTAGTTAGTTTAGCTCACTAGGTTAGCCTTAATTAACCTTAGTTAGCCTCCTTGGTGAAGAATGACTTAGGTTGCCACTAGTACTATAGTGGTCTTAACTTAGCTATTTTAGAATGTAAGCGATATATACTCTCAAGATTTGGTGCCGTTGCTGGGTAGGCAAGGCTTGGTTTATTTAGGCTTAATTAGTTTTTTTTATTTCATTTTTTGTGTTTTTCTGTTTTTTTATGAATTTTCATCTGTTTTGTTCAATTGGATTTCAAAAAGAGCTTAAAACTGATTTTCTTTGTTTCTCTGGCTTTCTGGGTGAATTTCAAAAATTCTTCTAGAACTGCTCTGTAAGAGAAAAATTCTCAAATTTAGAAGGTTGAAATATTATTATGTTAATGATTTTCCCCAAATTTTTTGATTGTTGGACTTGTAATTTGCTCTGTGCACATTTTTAAAGAAGAACCATAATACTAACAACCATGTGGTTGGATTTATATGTATGATCAAATGCCAACTTTATACCTTCCTATTACCTTTAACATGAAACCGATGGCTATTGCATGGCTACGTCCTTCACAGACTAACTTAGCCTTCCACATGTGAGGAGCTATCGAGCTAGGGTTAACTCACTCATTTATGTAATATAGTTTCCCCCAAATACTAACAACCATGGGATGTCGTATCCCTAATCTAGCCTCTTCATAAACTAGTTGAGACTAATTAGGTTCGAGTCTCTCGTAGAACCAGTAGGATAATCCTGAATCAACTATGGGACACAGGTTATCGCCAATACCATGTGGATTTATTTATCTACTCCTCTCCCTAGATGAACTCTCGCTAATGATCATGCTATGCATATTTTACATATTTATACATTCTAATCCATAATACCTCTCACATGAAATCATACCTCCCAATTCACAAACTCCACATATTCCACAAGTTAAAAATATATTTAGTAAATTCTCACAACATGCTATCAAAGAAAACACCATCAAGCACAAATGGATGGCATGTATAGGGTTTTTCCATTTCAAAACCATTTTCCTAAAAATCATTACATTGCTAATTGCATTATTATTTAGAAATATAAATCACATTTCAAATCAACTATTTCAATAAACAAACAATTAATATTCAATTATATCAATTAGGTCTCTTTCAGTTATCTTAAACTTTTGAGTGGTCAAAAGTTTACTCCTCACACAAAACACTTCCAAAGCTTTTCCCAAGCTTGAATGGTGCCAATTGATTCATATTATAATTATAAGCAAGAATATTGTCATAATCCCATTTTTAAGGATTATATTAACAATAATTCTACATTTCTCTATTGTACCAATCTCATAAATCTCTCCCCA